TCTAACAATTACCTTAGAAGCAAACCCTGCACCTATGAAGCAGTTGCCCCTTGCTTTTTCTTCCTTCAACCCCTGACAACCACTGGTATGCTTTGGCCTCTGGATTCATCTGTTCTGCTAAACGGAATCACACCATATGTGACCTTTTGCATCTGCCTTCTCTTAGTGTAACATGTTCCAGGTTTATCTCCATGGTAGTATGAGTCTTATTCCATTGTACGTTGTATATACCACAGATTTTTATTCCTATAGTTTTGACCTTCCCAAAATGTCATCTAGGTGGATCAGATACTATGTAACCTTTTTCACTTGGCATAATGCATTGGAGATTTATCCATATTATTGGATCTATCAGTAATTATTTTTATTGCTGCATAGTATTCGTGGTGTGGATGTACCACAGTTTGTTTATCCATTCCCTAGTTGATGTGAGTTGGTTCTAGGTTTGCAAAAAAAACTAATTCCAAATTTTGTGTGAACATAAGTTTTCTTTCGCTTGGGTAAATACCTAGGTGTGGGATTGATGGATCATGGGGGGAGGGCATGTTTCTCTTTATAAGAAACTGCCAAATTGTTTTCCACAGTGGCCCTAGCAGTTTATGAGAATGCCAGTTGTTCCACATCCTTGTCAGCACTTGGTATTGTCATGCTTTTTTAAGCCATGTGATAGGTAGGTAGTTGTCTCTCATTACAACTTTAATTTGCATTTCCCTAATGACTATGGATGTTGAACATCTTTTCCGGTGCTTATGTGCCATGTGTGTCTTTGGTGAAGTGTCTGCTCACATCTTTTGCCCATTTTTAAATTGTGTTATTTGCTTTTATTATTGATTTTGAGAGTTCTCTATATATTCTGGGTATGGATTCCTATCAGATAAATGATATGCAATTTCCAGTTGGTTGGGGTTTTTTTTTGTCATTCTCTTAACTGTGTTTTGAAGAGCAGATATTCTTAATTTTGATTGTCTATACATTGTAAAAGTCTGTATTATGCTTCTGGTATTGTATCTAAGAATTCTTTGCCTAACCCAAGGTTAAAAGATTTCCTTTTATTTCTTCTTGACGTTTTATAGTTTTAGATTTTATATTTTGGTTTGATCCATTTTTAGTCTTTTGTTTTGTTTGGTAGATGGTGCAAGGTAAATAGGCTTCTTATGGACCAACCAATTTACTCATAAGCGATTTAAGGAAATGACAGGGTTTATGGTAGGAGGGTATGTGGAACAATCCCCTTTGCCGTGGGTTGAACAAATGCTTTCCTCTGTGTAAAAGGCCTTTCCCAGTTGCAGGATAGTTCACCCTGCAAAGTGTGCCAGCCTTGCTCCCAAAGCTTCAAGAAACAATAAGGAAAATGAGAAGGTATGCATAAATTTCCTTTATGCTGTTCCTTAGGGCTTAAAGTGGAGCTTGTTTCCAGGTGAAATTATATGCAGTGGTGTTCCTGGAATAAGAAGCATTTCCTAAAGCTTTATCAAAACCAGCTCTTGAATCAATTGACCTTAAAGAGAATCCCAGGGGTTTTTTCCCCTTCAAAAATTAAATAGATGATAAATATGTTCCTCCTGGCTAGGAAGTGGTATTTTTTAATCAGGAAGCATGGATTTAAATATCATTGAGATATGGAAAAAGCCTTGATTTTTTTTTTAATCCTCACCTGAGAATATGTTTAATATTAACTTTTTTCTTTTTAGAAAGAGGGGAAGGAAGAGACGGAGAGAGAGGGAGAGAGAGAGGAAGGAGAGAGAGAGGGAGGGAGGGAGGGAGGGAGGGGGAGAGAGAGAGAGAGAGAGGCAGAGAGAGAAAGAGAAACATAGATGTGATAGAGAAACATTGACCAGTTGCCTCCTGTATGTGCCCAGACTGGGGATTGAACCAGCAACCTAGGTATGTGCCTTGACCAGGAATTGAACCTGCAACGTTTTGGTGTACGCGATGATGCTCCAACTAGCTGAACCACTCAGCCAGGGTGAAAAAGCCTTTAAAAGTTATACTTAGTTTTAAAATATAAAATTTTGCCCTGGCTGGTGTGGCTCAGTTGGTTGGGCGTGGTCCAGTGCACCAAAGGGTTGCTTGTTCCATTTCTGGTCAGGTCATGTGCCCTGGGTTTGGGCTGGATCCCAGATTGGGGGCATGCAATCGATACTATGCTCTCATATAGATTTTTCCTTCTCTCTCCCTCTCCCTGCCTCTCTAAAAATGAATAATTTTAAAAAAATTAATAAAGTAAAAAATTTTAAGTTAATGGTACATTAATTATAGTCAGAGGCAAAATACTTGATTGAAAAGCAGCTGGCACCTGGAGGCATCTTTTTCTAGCTTACCAGTTTTTTCAGTGAATTTTCATTGAGGCTCAGGCTGGCAGAGGTTAGAATGGGGCCTCGAGGCATTGCTCTATGTAACTTAAGAAATACTGGAAAGACCTACCGAAGGAGAATGAGGCAGTGACTGGGCAGGACTCATTTGTATTGGCATAGCTTTGTTGGGATAGAACAAAGCTGGATTCCAGCCAGCTGTGGTTCTGCCAACAGCTTTGTCCCCTGACTTTCTCTTAAATTCTGGGTTTGGAGTCCGGATACCTGGGTCGATGTGTGGTTCTCTTGTCATTAAAACTGAGTTCTGGACACATGAGGTGGTGTATCTGCACCTGCCTTAGGTGAAGGGGTTGGGTTCTCAAACCACATGCCCCTCTTAAGTAGCATGAGAACTGGTGGAGGTCTAGACTTGTCCAGTGAATTTGAAAAGGACTGCGTTTATTTAAGGAAGGAAAATTTTTCTCACGTTTTGAAATTGCCTTTTTTAATTTGTCTCATGTTGTTGAATTTTAAAAAATTGTAGTAAGGTACCCATAAAATTGACCGTCGCAACCACTTTGAAGTAGCATGAAGGGCATTTGCATTGTTGTGCACCCTCCAGAATGTTTTCATGTCATGAAACTGAAACTCCACCCATTCATCAATCCCTCCCCATTTCACACTCCCCCTCAGCCCCCAGCAACCACTGTTCTGCTTCCGGTGGCTATAAGTTTGACCTCAGGTGAGTGGAACCATCCGATGTTTGTTTTTGTGACTGGCTTATTTCACTTAGCATTATGTCCTCAAGATTCACTCATGTAGCATATGACAGTATTTCCTTCTTTTAAAAAAATTAGTTGATGCTGCTCTTCAATTATTCAGATACTTAAGTACCTCTAAGTATACAGTTTCTGTTCTTGGTACTAGAGGGAGACATGGTGAAAGAGACTGAGTCTGCTGTAAGTTACTTCTAGTAAGGATATGCACACACATAGCTGTGATGAATGAGGGAAAGTTACATCCCACAGAGAGGAACAGAAAATGGGCTAGGATCTCTGTAACTGTGTTCCACAGACCAGCACGTGGGATGACCCTGGCGCTTGTTAGAAATGCAGACTCTCAGGCCCCACCCTCGCCCCACTCATTCAGACTGTAGATTAGAACGTTTTTTAATTGAGATATAATTTACCTCTAACATTCTATTAGTTTCTGGTGTACAACATAATTTTCCAATAGCTGTTGTATGTCTTTCCTTTTCCTTTTTTATCCTCACCCGAGGATATGCTTATCGGTTTTAGAGAGAGAAGGGGAGGGAGGGAGGAAGGCAGGGAGAGACGGAGGGAGGGAGGGAGAGAGAGAGAGAGAGAGAGATAGAGAGAGAGAGGAAGAAAAAGAAGAAAAGGAAGAAGGAGAAAAGAGAAGAGAGATGTGAGAGTGAAACCCATCATTTGCACCCAGTGGGATGAAACGTGCATCCTTTTGGTGTACAGGACGACACTCCAACCAACGGAGCCACCCGCCAGGGCAGATTTCCTTCCTTTTTAAGGCTGAATACTACTCCGATGCATGTGTATAGGACACTTCGTTTACCCATTCATCTGTCCTGGACAGTCGGGTTGCTTCCATTTTGTGGCTTTTGTGAATAGTGCTGCTACGAACAGGGAAAGGCTATTTTTAATTTAAAGTTTTTCTTTTTACTTAATTTTCTTAACACTTCAGTGTCCAGTACTAATATTACTAGACACTAGTAGATGTACTATTGGTGATATTTGAAATTTTGGCATTTAAAATTTCCTTGGGGGATGTGTGTTGAAATATTTTAGGGTGATGTCTGTGAAGTACTTTGAACATACGTGGATTAGGTTGGCTCATATTAAATCACTGTTTTCCTAGGTCACAAACAGACAAATATCAGCAAGTGCCTATGGGTCAAGCTATTTGTTGAAAGAGAGAGAAAGCAACTGTGGTGACAAATAGGGGTTCCATGTGAATACACAGTGTTTGTACTAGTCTCTCCCCTTTCTCCGTGTTTGAACTTCTTCAAAATCAGGAGTTGGGAACAGATAGGTAGTCGGCATACGAAAATGAACTCTCAGCAGACACGTGTTTGTGAGGCTAAGTGTGCTGACCACATTCTCGCTGGGAGTAATTGCCTAAAATAGCGTTTACATGCCCTTGGAATTCTAAAACTCTACAGTTGACTCAGAATATAGAGAAGAAGGAAAGCTATTTCATTGTGTGAATTTTCTGAATCAGCATAGGAAAAAGAACAAAAAAAATAAAGAACTATATAGATGGGAATTAAGAGGAGCCTAGTAATACCTTACGGAGTCTTTTCCATGGTTGCCATTTAAAGACAGATCCACGGTAAGAGAAAAATATCGGTTTCTCCGAAACCAATGCTATTTTCTCACTTTTTGTCAAGAGATCAAAAATGGCTTCTCTCCAGGCGTGGTCCTGACAGTCTCTGTAAGGAAGGATACATCTCTGGGATTTGAAGACGTCTTAGCTCCATCCCCCTTCCCTTGTTGCCTAAGGTATGAGCCAAAGCACATTTTGCTCAGGGTTAGTGGGGTCTACTGGGCAACCAAGGCAGATGGATAAAGTTATGAGATGCTAATTCCTACTCCGCTTTGGAAAATTTCCCTGTGATTATAACAATCTCTGGTTTTATTTTATTTTTTTTCTGTTTTGAATCCAAAACAGATCCCTAAAGAAGTGGCTGACATCTTTAACGCCCCTAGTGATGATGAAGACTTTGTCGGTTTCGGAGATGACGTTCCCATGGAAACCCTCTCATCCGAGGAGAGCTGCGATAGTTTTGACTCACTGGAGTCAGGGAAACAGGTACGGATGCTTCCTTTCAGGCAGGCGTGTTGGGCCGGAAGCCTGGATCGTGGTTCAGGTGTCCTTTTCTCTGACCATGGTCTGAGGTTGGTGATGTCAGTTCATTGCCCAGCATTTTATTTTGTAAGCATCAGGCCTTCATGTTTCAAGAAACTGGTGAGAGTACCTCACTCACTTTTGCTGTTTAAATCCTTTTGTACAGTAATTTTTGTTTTTTAAATAAAGGGAACCTCACATGATCAGATCCATTTTCTCGGGGCTGCTGCCTGTGGCACGGCTGGGTTCAGAGGCCCCCATGCAGCTGGCAGGGGAGGGCTGCCCGGCACAGAGATGTCCACAACACACAGAGCAGCGCTGGAGTGTGTGGTTACCATGGGGCAATTGCGTCCCTGTCCCCGCGGCGTGGTTCTGTCTGCACCTCCCTCTTGGAATGGCTGGGGAGAGCATTTTTCTCTCTGTAATCACTTTGATCTGTGGCACATGTACGTTACAGTTCTCTGTTAGGTTCCTGGAGGTTTATCTTGTGCCTGAGCAATTGCACGGCCGCCAAAAGACCTAGCCTTTTCTCCCAGGGTCATTGTGGCGCTCAAAATTCCTCCTCCTCCCTCCACCATGTGGTCTCTCGTTAAAGGCTGTAAATTAAACCCACCTTGCTTCCACCGGGCAGGTACCGGAAGGGAAGCAGTTCATTCCTCGGCTGGCCTCGGTGGGCGCTGTTCTTTCCTAGGACATGGGTTCCCTCTCTGTGGGCCTCACCTTACTTGTCTCCACAGCCGTGACCCCGCCAGCCCCGTTTCCACTCCCCTGTTCTCTTCCTCTCAGCTGCACCTCCTGTTCTGTGTTGTCACCGCTCCTGTGTTTCCTGTCCCCGTTCGTGGGTGTTCTCGAGGCTTTGTCTGCAGACTTTTCACTTAGTGGGCTCAGTGGTTGGCCTGGTTTCAGCTGTAACCTCCACGATGGAAGGCTGGGCTTCTCCCTCCAGCCCAGAAGTACCAGTATCTCTGACTGCCGGTCGGACCAATCCTGACTAGTCAGGGAGATCGGAACACACCCCTGCCCTCCCCACATTGTCTGTCTGGCTTCCTCTGTACTAGCTCCATCATTGGTGTTCTTGACCCTCCTCTCCTCGCCTCCTCTCCTATCTCCCCAACTCCCTTCCAGGAGTTAATCTTATCTCTTAGCTCAGCTGTAGAACTGACCAAGGCCCATAACCTATCATCTAGTATTGATTTTAAGAAATAACCAAGGAATCCCAGAGAGCCAGGGCCGGTGCGAGGACTGTAACCTAGAATGCAGCGAGGCTGTGTGGCGTGCATATTTGCTTCATGCAGACCCACGTTCCAGACATTTCCTGCCCCCTGTGGCCTAAGGAGGATACGCGCCTAGGCCTTGGTTTAGGACTGTGGCTCAGCTCTTTTTCTCTATCAGAGCTGGACGCCAAAGATACTGACCTCTCCCAGGCTGACCACTGCCCTGTGAGGCCAGCTCAAAGGCTAGAAACTCCAGAGGACTGGACGGTGGGAACTCGCTGCTGTAGGGGCCTGGCCTCCTCAGGCTCTGGGCCTGGGTGTCGGAACCACACCTAGACTCCTTGCCCCAAAACAGCCTGCAGGGGCCGGCTCTGGGCTCTAGGAACCAGATGTTTCCTGCCCTCGGAGATAGCAGGTTTGTGGTGGGTTTTCCCGGGAGCCAGCCGGGCACCTTTCTTCCTTAATCATAAATCCTCGTTTGCTGCTTCCCCCAACCCCCCTCAGGTCCATGTTAACCATCCGAGAGGAGCCGCATGAACTCGTACACAGTATGTGTGGCAGTGCTGAGTTTGGTCACTCTGAAACACAATCTGAATTTCACTTTAAAGAAGCTTCCCGTGTGTGCGTGCGTGTGTGTGTGCGTGCGTGCGTGTGCGTGTGTGTGTGTGTGTGTGTGTGTGTGTGTGTGTGTTTTCCAAGCAGCTGCACCACAGCTATCAACAAAGGAACAAAGTAATTAAGCTCTGAGCACACACACTCCAGTTACCCACGGTAATTCATAGGAGACATTTTTTAGCTTAAAACGTGCTGGAAATAGGCACTTTTCTCTATCCCCTGTAAGGTTTTCCACTTGTCTATTGTATCTGTTTTTCTCCCGAGATGGTCTGAGCTCAAAGAAGTGCATCATTACACTCAGGCAAAGGCATGGGGGCAGATACAGATTCTCCCACCGCACGTGCTGTGAGGAGGGGTCAGCTGCTCCATTGGGGGAGGAAGGAGGCGGCGTCAGAGGCACCTGGGGCCCCGGTCCCCAGCCCTGGGTGCCAGCATGGAGGAGGCTCTTTATGGGTCTCCTTTCCGAACTGTATGCTTGCTTTTCCCTTCTCACGTCCAAGCATGCCACTTAGAAAGCCCAGTTTTCTTCCTTCCATTAGTTCAAAAGGAAGAAAAAGTCTTTATTCGAAGATGACTTCCTTTTTTAAGAGTCAGTTCCTTCTGCTTGCTTGCTGCCTGGGCACTGCTGGGGGTTGTGGAGGGTGGCAGCATCCGTCCGTCCGTCAGTCCTTGTGGCAGGGGGTGAGGGAACCACTGCAGTTGCTCAGTGGTGTGCGTGGGAGGCAGGGTCTCCAGCCCCTTCTCTCCTGCGGAGGAGACGCTGTGGTGGGGGAAAGGCAGGCGTGCTCACTGCCGCGGAGGGTGGCTGTTAGAGAGGAAGGCCCGCCTGGGCGGGAGCCAGGTTTTCCCTCACAGCTTCTCCCCACGGCTTTATGGATATCTGGGAAAGCAGGCATTTCTAATGGCCAGCCTGGCAGGAGATGCCAGCCGTGCTGATCGGTCGGACAAGCTGATGGAGGCTGCGGACAGGGAGTTTTTGAAATCATTCAATTCATGGGTTTAAATTTCTGTAAGCTGCAGAAAGTGTGTGTGTGTGTGTGTGTGTGGTGGTAAAACATGCATAACAAAATTTACCATTGTAACCATTTTTACTTTTAATTTTTGTTTTAATTGATTTCAGAGAGGAAAGGGAGGGAGAGAGAATCATTGACCACTGCCTCCTGCTTGCCCCCTATTGGCGATCCAGCCTGCCACCTGGGCATGTGCCCTGACTGGGGATCGAACTGAGACCGCCTGGTTCACAGGTCGACACTCAACCACCGAGCCACACTGGTTGGGCGTAACTATTCTGAAGTGCAGGCACGTTTCTGGTTTCTTGCCAGCGAGACACTAGGTGACCTTAGATGCGTTCCATGTTGGGCAGCGGACACCATTATCCATTTCCAGAATGCGCTCATCGTCTCAGACGGAACCCCTGCACCCATTAAACAGCTCCCACGGCCTGGTGCCCCGGGAACCCGTTCTCTCTCTCTCTCTCACATGTGTGCTTTTAATTTAGCAGGATGTGCGCTTCCGTTCCCCGTACTTCACAGAAGAGCTGAGGAGAATTTTTATAGAGGACACCGACTCGGAGACAGAGGACTTTGAGGGGTTTACACAGAGCGACCTGGGTGTAAACAGTAGCCCAGAAGGAAAGGTAATAATGAGCCACACGAGGGAGTGTGGCCGCAATAGCTTCCGTCCTGTTTCTGAGTTCTGTTTTTACTTGGAAGAAGTCACTTCACAAAGGGAAAGATTTTACTTGCTCTTACCTGTTTATCTCTAAAGCCTATTAACACAATGTAAACACTGCCATTCCAGGGTGAATCCCTGGCCCCCCAATCCATTGTTCTGGAGTTTGGGGGTTGTGTCTCAAGTGTCCCTTAAGGTCCTTATCAGAGACTTGCTTAGGGGGTCTGTCTGGGAGTAATAAGGTCTTTAAAGTCATTACTTCTTGTGTGTGAAGTAGTGCTCTTGGGTGTGTAGTTAATTTGGCAGAAGTCTTGGAGTCTTCCCTATGCATTTTGACTTTGAATTTTTTTGATGTGCTTTGTGGTGATATGTGGGGTTTTTTTGTTGTTTCTTTTTTTGGCAGAGAGAGGGAGGGTGAGTCTAGAGAAACATCGATGTGAGAGCAACATCGATCGGCTGCCTCCTGTACCCTCCCTACTAGGAGTGGAGCCTGCAGCCCAGGCATGTGCCCTGACCGGGAATTTAATCGTGACCTCCTGGTTCATAGGTTGGGCTCACAGGCCGGGCTAGCACTCCCATTTCTATCTGGAGGTGAGTCTTAGGTCCCGCACACCGTTTTCTTTGACTGTTCTCTGTGTTCCTGGCATCCAGACCTGCCAGCTTGGCCGTTCCCTGTGCGGGAGCCCAATGTGCAGTGCTTTGTGTCCAGCCCAACGATCTGAAAGGAACGCAGCCGGCCAGTGGCTGAGAATTTGTGTTCCTACCCAGTTCCCAGGTGGTGCAGGTGCTCCCGGGGCCACCCTGAGCGGAAGCGCTGGTCCAGGCTGCAAACCACAGAGAGAGTCCTCCTTCGAAACTCAGCTCCGTGGGGGCAGGGTGCAGCTAGTGCCTGCCCTTGGGCTTGATCCACCACAAACTACTTGACTGAAAAGCTCAGGGGAACTCCTAAGAGGAAGGAAGAGCTTTCAGCTATTTAATTCTTTCCTAATATAAGGTCTGATGGTTTTAAATGTGTCCTTTTGGAAGTCTGTTACAACATCTTTGTTTTTCCCTCATTTTGTTAGCTCAAGGGGTCCGATTTGAGCGACGATGGTAGTGAGGCATCAGCGAGTGAGGAGGAGGGAGATGACGAAGAAGAAAAGGCCACGCCCAGAAGAAGCAGGCCTAGGAGCAGTATTGGTCTCCGCGTAGCCTTGCAGTTCCCCAAGAAACTGGCCAGAACAGCCGACGAGAAGAATTCTGCTGAGCCGTTGTTTTCCAGCTCTTGCTCACAGGACAGTACAAAAGCCATTCTCCGGAGAAAGAAAAGCAACAGAGAAGGGAAGGAAAGGGAAGATTCGGCCTCAGAGCCCGAGGACGACTCCAGGGACGAGGAGAGCTCGGACGCGCTGCTGAAAAGGACCATGAACATCAAGGAGAACAAGGCCATGGTAAGGCCCCAGCTGGGGGCGGGCACCTGGGGGCGGGCACGGGGCTCCGGCCAGGCTCACAGGCTGCACCCTGCCAGCTCTGCGTTGGCTCCTCTTAGGAAATGTGCTCGGGGACTCTGCATCCTTGCTCTTTTCCTGAACCCCAAGCAGCTGCTCCCTGGGAGCTCTGGGTTGGGAACAGGAAGAGACTCCTGCATTGGTTTTAGCCCCCTGCCCTATACCTCGAGCTCATGCCGCTGCCAGTGTGTAGAGTGAGGTTTTGAGCCGAGAGGAGCTGAACCACTGGCCCATTCCTGGCAGAAGGAAAAGGAAGCTGTAAATGAGGTGTTGGGAGCCCACTTAGGAGTGGCCGTGGGCAGGCCAGGCAGGCGTCTTGCAGCCCAGAAACCTGTCTCCTGGGATCGCCTGCTATGGTTTCAGGACATTATCTGAAGGAATGAAACAGGTCTAGGTATTAAAACAAACGGAACTTTATTTTAAAATGTCTTCCCTCGATTAAAGGAACAAAGCGAAATCTGTGTATGGTTTTTCTGCACGTGATCGGTCAGTGACGGTTGTTAGCGTCATAATTTTGTATATACAGAATTTTAAAAATCCTACCACGCATAGTCACTTTTAGCATTTTGGTGTATGTCTTTAATATTTTCTTTTAAAGAAGGTCATGTAATGATACTGTATATACAATCTTATATGGCAAGTAAGTTACGCAAGAAAATAGGAAGCTTGCTTTTGGATGAAATTTACCCAGGGACACGTGTCTTATTATCAGCTAAAGGGAATTTTTAATACTGAGCTGTCTGCCTCTTTAAAATACAAACTAGGTTCTGCCCGACCTTTTAGTAACTCCCATCCATGTGTGTGGACCTAAAACTAAAAAGAATCCTAGTGAAATGGCACGATTGGCATATTAATGGCTGTTACTTGTTCTTAGGTGTTTATTTGGAAATATTTTCAGAATTTTTACTGATGAGAACTTTGGTTTCTTGGAGCTCTAAATAATTGTCAGAATGACCTAGTTCAGTGGTCGCCAACCTTTCGGGCCTCACGGACCACCGGTTGGCGACTGCTGATCTAGTTGAGCCGTTTTGTTTTGAATGTGAGGAAACTTGGTTCAGGTGTGCAAACCGGTGTTCCAGGCCTCACTGCTAACGAGGGGGCCCGGTCATGATGCTCCAGGCGTTGGCCATTCCAGGGCCGTGTTCATGTTGCCCTGCCCTGGTACATGAGGAGTAGGCGGAGGTTTTATTACTGTGAGTGGTGATCCTGGCATCTCACCTGTCCCCACAAACATCTTTACATGTGAGGTTAAAGCAGTGGTTATCAACCTTCTGGCCCTTTAAATACAGCTCCTCATGTTGTGACCCAACCATAAAATTATTTTCGTTGCTACTACATAACTGTAATGTTGCTACTGTTATGAATCGTCATGTCAATATCTGATATGCAGGATGGTCTTAGGCGACCCCTGTGAAAGGGTCGTTCGACCGCCAAAGGGGTCGCAACCCACAGGTTGAGAACCACTGGGTTAAAGGGATAACAACTGTTAAGATCTTAATGTAAACTACGTTAGTCAGGTTTCTCACGGCTGCAGAACTGAAGACTCGTGATGAGGTGCTGGGTGAACGAGACTTGGGAATACTTATGTGCCACCCTTTCTTTGTTCCAAACTCCAGCTTGCTCAGTTATTGGCGGAATTGAACTCGGTGCCTGATTTCTTCCCAGTGCGAACCCCAAGCTCGGCTTCCGTAAGTGGCGCTCCTTTTCATTATTTATTCCGACTGCCAGGCGGCTTGTATTCCAGAAGGCACCCAGCTGCACACGCCTATGCTCTTGCTTTCAGAAGAAGAAAACCGTGAGGCGGGCCTTCTCGGAGGGGCAGGTCCCCAGGCGCACAAACCCCACCCGGAGCGCGCGGCCGCCTGAGAAGTTCGCCCTGGAGAAGTTCACCATCTCCGCCGCCCAGTTTGCAGAAGAGTTTTACCGCTTCAGGAGAAGGAAGACAATTAGTGGGGTATTTTTTGACCTTAGTAAACAAGCTACTTTGTCTAAGCCAGTGGTCCGGAACACAGGTGTCCATCATAGTCGCTCCAGGCGATCTGCAGCAGCTGAGAATTGGCAGTTTGTGATCCCAGGTGGTTCTCCTGCTAAGGGCGGCGCCCGGGAGAGCCCTGGAAGCCCCAGGGAGGAGCGCGGGGTTCAGAGCCCCAGCTGGACCTCCGGTGGCGGCAGCGCAGGCCTGGCCAAGGCTCTGGCCTGCTTTGGGGTTTTGCTTGGGGGAAAGGAAAGAGAGTCCTCCTAGCCTCTGTGTTAGGACTGAGGCATTTCAGGTGCCTTCAGGCAGGAGGGAGGAACTCCAGACTCTTCCCATTGGTGGGTTTGGCTGTTCATTGTGTTAACAACATCCCTGTCCTCAGAGTTAACATGGAAGGAGCTGGACACGCCTCAGTGAATGAAGATTTCAGGAGAACAGAGGAGGGGCACAGTTAATACTAATTAATGGTGTTAGAACTCTAAGAGTGTGAAATTTTAAAAAAATGTAACCCCTCAGCATATCTAACGCTAGCTTCTGCTCCGTCTCCTCCCACAGGGGAGGTGCCAGGGCTATCGACGGCGGCATCGCGCATCTTCCTTTCGGCCCGTGGAGGACATCACTGAAGAGGACTTGGAAAATGTCGCCATAACTGTCCGAGATAAAATCTATGATAAAGTTCTGGTAAGTTAGATAGGACAACGGGGCACATGACTGGGACTCCAAGGCACTAGGATTTGAAATCCTGCATTGTTTGTGCACTGTGTCTGGGCGTACCCCCCAGGCCCTCTCTGCAGGGCACCGCATGGGCTCTGAATTGGAGGGTCAGCTGTAACCGGGGAAGGGGAGGCGGCTCGGAGCAGGAATTCTCATCAGAGGAGAGGTTTGTGTGGAGGGAGGCAGGGGTATTGTTTAGAAAAACATTTATTTATAGTTCTACTTTGAATATATACCTTTTTATGTTTTAAACATTGAAAAATATAATGTGCTTTTTGGTTAATATGACCATAGAAACTGAAGTTCGAGAGACTCTTGGGTAGGCAGTGGGTTAAGAGTTCCTCTCAGTGCCGAAACCGGTTTGGCTCGGTGGATAGAGCGTCGGCCTGCGGACTAAAAGGTCCCGGGTTCGATTCCGGTCAAGGGCATATGCCTTGGTTGCGGGCAGATCAAAATCAATAAAATTAAAAAAAAAAAAAAGAGTTCCTCTCAGTGGTAAGCTTTGTGGTGTCTGACACCTTGTAGACTGGGGATGGGACACTGTTGCAGGCAGTATTAACCTGTGAGGTTTTCCTAGTCGCTAGGAGCCAGGTTGGAGCTGAGGGATGCTGTCGGGGCACATGGCACTCGTCGTCACCTGCCCCCCTTCGTGGGCCCTGCCCTTCCTGCTTCTCTGATCATTTCTTCCAGGCTCCCTGCTCCATCTCATCTGCCCGAATATGCTTCTCTGGCCCCAGAACTAAAAGTGCTTACAGGCTGCCGAGGGTGCCATGGTCTACTTGCCTCTAGGAGAGGGGCAAGTGCAGCTTGTGCACAGCAGCGTGGGGCCCTGTGGACATCACCCTGTGAATCCGTGCTCAGTCCTCACCGCCCTCTCCCCTCAGGGTAACACGTGCCATCAGTGTCGGCAGAAGACCATCGACACCAAGACAGTGTGTCGGAACCGGAGCTGCGGCGGCGTGCGGGGGCAGTTTTGTGGGCCATGCCTGCGGAATCGCTACGGGGAGGACGTGAGGTCGGCGCTGCTGGACCCGGTAGGAGCAGCGTGCGCATGTGACATGAGTGGTATTGGGAACGGGGAGCCTGCCGGTGGGGCTCCCTGGGCCCTTTTTCAGGGACCAGTAGCTGCAGAGCCCTGAACCCTCTCCATCTTAAGATGCGGGGAGAAATGAAGAATAGGGTTTCCTTCTGGAAAGGGAGCAGCAGGCTGACCAGTGGATAGGATAGGAGACAAGGCTGCACTGGGCTTTCCAGGGTCAGCCAAGCTTTCTTACAGTGGTCGGGTTCAGTGAGGCACTGCTTGCTGTGTGCCCAGACCTGCTCTAAGGTTTCACATCAGTTAATGCTGCTGACTTTATTTTGGTTGTTAACTATTTACCCTTATGAAGTAGGTCTGTAACCTCCCTAGGCCTTGGTTCCCTCTGTAAAATGAGTAGCATGGTTGGTAGTCTGACCTGGAATCTGGGGGTTCTGTGCTCTTACCCTCTTGTACGGCAGTCATAGGGGTGGTAGATACACTGTCATACCGTCCCCAATTTGCAGATGACTATAAACTGCCACTCAAGTGATGTGATTTAACAACAGGCACACAGATGGGAAGTGGAAACACGAGCATTCACACCCAGGTCTCACTGGTCCTTTTCACCAGAGTCTACGGTTATGCTAGCTGGCCTGTCTCAAACCAACATCTTTCAGTGTTTGTCCATATGTGATGTTGGGTGATCAAACTTTCTAGGCCTTTTTGAGAGGGAAGGAGACAGGTTAGATCCTCCTCCCCCCGTGACAAGTATGAAAGGGTAGCAGGTGACTAAAGCCTGGAGGAGAGGCCCGCTGAGCCAGGCCTGACACCACGGGGACGCCTGCCGTCATCTCCTCCTAGGGCTGGATGTGCCCTCCCTGCCGGGGGATCTGCAACTGCAGTTACTGTCGGAGGCGCGATGGCCGCTGTGCCACAGGGATCCTCATTCATCTGGCCAAGTTTTACGGTTATAACAACGTCAAGGAGTATCTGGAGAGGTGAGTGTCACAAGTCAGAACAGGTGGCAGACACTCGAGGCAGGTCGTGGTTGCCTCGTTTCAGGCTGATTCTTACAATCCACCTGGGATGTAGCTCTGTGCATTGGACAGACTCAGGAAATTTCCTTCTTTGCTAGGATTTTCAACGTGGGGCTACCTGTGTAATACAGAATGGAGTGTATGAGGCAGCCTTGACCCTACTGGGCAGAGAGGAGAGGTTTGGGGGATGTAGGATGAGGAGATGGAATTGTGGTTCCCAATAAACTTGAAAAGCAGTTTCAGAATGAAACAAACCCTAGCTGAGGCCTGCCTCCAGGGTCTGCCACCAATGAAGCAGGAGTCAGGCCTGCTCGGGGCTTTGTGCTCCTCCCCCTCCTATTAATTCCTTATCACACTAACATGCCCTTTCCTTTTCTCAGCTTACAAAAGCAGCTGGTAGAAGATAATTAGGAGGAGGAAGAACCACCAGCCAGCTCACCTTGGTGTATTCCAGCAAGACATGCCCTATGTACCATTTGTGCCTATGATGTCTTACAGTTGTGTTTTTATAAAGAAATTCTTTGTAGATCTAAATACTACTTTTTGTTAAGATTGTTTATATGCTTACAAAGATATCTCAGGAAGACAGCTAAGCACCTTGAGGAATCTTATATACACAGGTGATTAGAAAGCAGTTACAGTGCAGGTAAGTTCCAGAGAAAACATTGTATAAGGAGCTCTTGCCTTAGACATTGTTTACAGATACTGCCTTGACCTTTTACCTCCCAGTTAGTAACTCTAGGCCAAGTTGTTACAGCACCTTTAGTTTACCTTATCCTGACCAATCGTTCAAACCACCTAGTGTAACCTGCTCTGGGTGATTGGAAATTTCTATTGCAGAATGTTCCCCTAAATTACAAAGTGCAATTAACCGCAGATGTGAGTACTAGAGCTTTCTGTTTTATTAAAACTTGAATGAACAAAAAGTGGACTGCCACGTTACCAACACTGGAGGCCTCGTAGCGTCCGCCTCTTCATTCAGGATTGCCTGCTGCCAGTTGCTTCTATATTTTAAAAGAATGTAAGAGCTAATTTTTAATTTAAAAAAGATTTTGTTTACTTATCTTACAAGAACTAAAATCCCACTTACCAGGAGTCTTCCAACCCCTTTTGTTTTTGAGGTGGTATTTTCACTGGGAGCTTCCTGAAAATGGGAGAGACACTGTTCTGGGGAAAGCTAAAAGTTCATGAACACGTTCTGACTAGGTTTCCAGTAATTCTTCCTACGTTTGCCTCTTTCTCTTCCCCACTTTTTAAGGATGGTGTTTAAGAAAAGTTAATACACAGTTAAAAGTTATAGACGCTGGAATGTTTTATGCCTCTCAGTAGAATAAATGTGCAGGAGAACAGCGCAATGACAATGAAAAATCCTCACTGTTCGCCAGGCCTGGAGGAGTGAGGTCCCATCTACGCCTCCAGCAGCAGAGCCACGCCTGCCAGCACCCACTTGGCCGTCTTCTCTTTGCTCCTCAACCTGAAGGTCCAGATGTAGTGGGGGCCCCTCATTTTGGTTTTGTACACAGGGCACTCATAGGTGTGTTTGGTTTCCTGTCTGTCCGTGGGTATGGCTTTTGCAAAGATGACTGGCATCGCCGATGTCAGCTCCTTGAGGCGGGCTTCCGCAATGGTTCCGGACTGGACGTCCCATCTGGCACCTGCAGCAAAGAGAACGCAGGGTGGGACGTGTTGGGCCGCGTCTTGTCATGGTTGCAGGCAATAAACGTTCCGGTTTTGTCACGCTGCTGCTTGTTGGTGACTTTCTGACTGAGCTGGGCCAGGACTGAGGTACGAGAGGGAGGGTAAGATCCCTGCTAGCCACGTGCCCCACGCACACGGTAAGCAGACCATTCATTGCTCCTGAGTTTAACACCTACACTCTAAGGAAAAGTAAATTTTATAAAAACAGATCCTATCACAATCCAGACACACTAAAGCAGTGGTTCTCAACCTTCTGGCCCTTTAAATACAGTTCCTCATGTTGTGACCCAACCATAACATTATTTTCGTTGCTACTGTTATGAATCGTCATGTCAATATCTGATATGCAGGATGGTCTTAGGTGACCCCTGTGAAAGGGTCGTTCGACCGCCAAAGCGGTTGCGACCCACAGGTTGAGAACCGCTGCACTAAAGCAAACTAGTCTGCTCTCCCTGTAAAAGTAACGTGCATTTGAATGCTACAGAGTAAAAGAAGCCTCCATCCAATTCACCACCTTCTCTCCCCACGGCCCCTTACCTTACACCACGTTCAGGTACCTCATTCCCATTACCTGCACTCAAACACGTGTACGTGTGGCACTTGTACAAAAAAAAAAGGGCATTTTGGCCAAGACTAGGACAGGCATTTCTGAAAACGTTCTTCAGGTACAAATGCATAGCCAAATAAAATTAGAAAACATTGCATACTCCTCCCCTTAGAGCAGCGGTTCTCAACCTGTGGGTCGTGACCCCTTTGGGGGTCGAACGACCCTTTCACAGGGGTCGCCTAAGACCATCAGAAAATACACATATAATTACATATTGTTTTTTGTGATAAATTACTATGCTTTAATTATGTTCAATTTGTAACAAAATACATCCTGCATATCAGTTATTTACATTACGATTCATAACAGTAGCAAAATTACAGTTATGAAGTAGCAACAAAAATAATTTTATGGTTGGGGGTCACCACAACATGAGGAACTGTATTAAAGGGTCGCGGCATTAGGAAGATTGAGAACTACCGCCTTAGAGGTTTACAATGTGCATCAGCTCTTGTAGAGGCTCGGAGAAGTCGTGCAGTAAAAAAGTGGTAGAAGAAAGATTGTGAATTGATTATATTGAAAAGCAAAATAACTTCAATTCAGTGTAGGTTGTAAATGATCCTGTGGTGTTAACATTAGATACATGAGCAAATCTAAGTGAAAGCCATCACCCCAGATGCCTTAAAATATGGCTCACGTTGGATACACATCTTGGCATTTGATTTTTTAAAAAGCAAGAAATGAGGTAAACACCCACTAACGCGAGCAAATACTGAGAAAGAGTAAACGAAGGGCAGATAACTGACTTGAGTGAGGAACAAAGGTCACTCCTTCCTTGCATAGCCTTCCCTACCTTCCATGAAGAGCCCGTGCAGATATGCGCCTTCCCTTGGGGGGTGGCCATAGTCGTCCTTGTTTTTTTTGGTCACGTCAACCGTCAGGCACATTTTATCCAGTGGCCACGCGTTTTTTCGAGCCGTGGTCTGCATGATTGCTGTGGGAGGGGAGGGCACAGAATGAGTGAATGGTGTCAAGTTGTCCGTAAGGTTCCCAGGAGCCGCCAGCAAGCTGAGCATCTACTGAGGCTGCCCTGGCCCCGCCCAGTGTCGCTGGGTTCCGTGTATTTGCGTGTGGCCACATGAGAGCCAGGGCTGGTACACGAAGGCCTGCAGGACAACCTCGCAGCTTTTGGAAATGAGCTTTTACTGGAACAGCTGCGCCCATTGGGTCAGTACTGCCTGGTTGCTTGGGCACTGTCGTGGCAGAGACTGTGTGTGCCTTGGCAGAAAACACTTCCTAGAAGGAACCACATCCCACCTCACTTGGCTGCTCCTGGGCCTCCTTCCCTTTGCTGCTGTTCTGCCCGGAGTGCCATTTCCTCTGTCGCTCCTGCACCTTTTCTGTCATGGCTACCGCGTGAGGCACAGTGAGCAGGGCGGGGAAGGCTGCTCATGGCGGGATTTCTGCTGGGGGTGCAGTTCTGTGAGCAGCAGACCTTACCAGTTAAGAAGGACTGAGGGTTGAAGAGGCCAGAAAGCCACACCACAGCTGGGAGGGCGAGATCTTGTGTCCAAGTGTCCAGTTCTCGGCATCGCAAGAGGAGGTCATTAAACCTGGTTCATAGAAGGTAGGAAGAAATCGGTTTGCTTTTTATTTTTAGTAAGACGGACATGTCTCAGTAAGATTAAGTCAGTCAACTGTGGGGAAGGGTGGGTGGTGGTAGCAAGGTACCCCACTGAGAACCAGTGGAATCCTTACTTGATGATTTACAGACTGTTGTCCCCTTAAAGGGGCTAGATTTTTTCCAACAGAGATTGCGTATCATAACAACTGTTACTATTAGGGACAAGAAACACCGAGGAATATGGAAAATTTGTCTCCATTACCCAGCAGTTAGTTAGCTCCTCTCAGTGTTATGTGGTGACTGTACACAGGTGATCTGTAAGATCTGGGCTGACAGGTGCCGACATGGAGCAGGGAGGTACATGCAGGGTGTGTAGGAAGACACAGGAGAGACCCCTCAAATGTGTCGAGGTGGGGAGGGGAAGGCTGCGATGATTGTTACTAGACACGTGTTGCTGGGAAAGGCAGAGAGAGGAGTGGAGCATTTGACAACAGCCTTCCCACATGTGATAATTACCGGAAAGCAGGAAAGGTTATTGTAAAGTTGTTTTATCCATCACATGCCTGGGGTTTGAGAAACTGCTGTCTTTACTCAGGTCCTTGCCTCTCAGCAGCAGTTAGGCAAGGGAGGAAGTACCTGCAATTTACCTCTGAGGAAGCATGAACGTCTTTGATAAAATTAGGGGACACGTGGAACCTTGAGTCGGAGGTTTAGGGAATGTTAGAGATGGTGGGGAAACAGAGCACAGAGAAGACAGCCCAGCGGAAAAGCCAGCAATACAGTTCTCCAGGGTGAGGGCCACTCCGGCTGGCCCTGGGTTTTTCTGGGACCTGGTTTGGCTCAGAGTTGCAAGGGAGGCAGGGCCGAATGGGAATCATCCCCACGAACCCCCTGCAGGAAAGGTCTGCCTGAGACCTGGGTCACCAGAAGGAAAATTCCCGCTAGCTGAGAACACGGCCCAGTGCCCTGCCCCACGTTAAAAACCCCTGATGAAAAAAAAATACTTGAGGCTGTATAACACAGGAAAAGGGGCAAAGGATGGGGAAAGCAGGGGTGGAAAAAGACTTTAACAGGTGGCTGCAGAGGATAAATACTACAGCCAAACAATTTGCAGTAAGTATTTTTTTTTTTTTTTAAAGGGAGTGATTCCTTGTATAAACAAGGTCAAGGATTAGAAGTGATTGGGTAAGGAAAAGGAAATTAAATCAGAAGAGCTCAGAAGTAGAAAAACTGGTAAAAATTGAAGCAAAAACGATGTAGCATAAGGCAGAACAATTTCAAAAAGCAAAAAATGGAAATAGAAATATTGAAAATAAGACGAAATTTGAAACAACAAGTATTTACTAATAACCATCCTAGGAGATTTGAGTTCCAGCTCAGGCAGGTACCAACCACAGACCATTTGTAGCTCCTACTGGGTGGTTCTGGCCTGGAGCAAGCAGTCTGAAGCTGGAACTACCTGTGGGTTGTTCAGTCATATAAGCCAATAAACTGTTTTATTTAAAAACTGAAATTGCGGGTCTATACTGACATGAAGAAATTTCAAGTTGCCTCTCGTGGCCATAATAACAATTCCCCCAGTGAGGGAATTCTATAATGTGCATTTTTCAGACGATAAAATGAGAAATCAGGTCAGATATTTTGTCCAGGCTCAAATAGCTAACAAGGAAGAGGTCGAATTTGAATCTTGCTCTGATCTTGACTTTTAGTCCATTTTTGCTTTTGAAGTAGGCAACATGTTAGGGAAACACAATTGAAACTGGTGGTAGTTTGCACACTTACTGAGTTTAGTTACAAATCACAACCTATAGATCTTTTGGGCTGAATACTTCAGAACAATGAACTAGCATGGAGGCAGACAAAGGCAGTGGGGGCAGCTTACCACTGGGCCAGGCCGTAGGTAGATGGGTAAGCCAGTTTGCTCCACGTGTCCGGCACCATGTCGTAACTCAGCGCAGACTGCTGGGCTTCCACTGCAGGTGTTGGCGTCAGCTCCCCCTTGCGTGGAGAAAAAGGTCACCTCGTGACTACCTTCCGATGCGGGGAGCCAGCTCTCACCCACTTCAGCTTACCTTCAGGCCGAGGTCTAACTGCTGGAGTGACATGTGGATTTCCCGCAGGAGGAGGTTCATCCTCTCACATTCTTGGAAGCAAACAAGAACGTAGGGGCTTCTAGTTGAGGTTTTTTGCATGATCTCTGCCATGTTGAACTCTTCTGGGAGTTTCTCCAAGATGTCATCCAAGATGTTCTTCACCTTAAATCACGAACACGCGAAGATTTAGCTCCTATTTCATTTTTGGTCACAGTGACTATATAGCTTTGTTTGCTGTTAAGTCCCAGAATATATCATACAACTCTCCCAAAACGCGAATGCATTTAAAAAATGCCTCCCACTCCCTGGAGGTGGGCATTCCCAGGAGTGGCAGTGCCAGCTGCCGTCAGTTCCCACCGGGAGGAGCTACTATTTGCAGTTCATATAGGATTAGCATTTAGGGAATAGAAGAACTGTCATCAACTACACTTCATTGGTACGTAAAAATGCAGTCGGGAAGTAGAACCCCGATGTTTAGGCATATTACATTTTGTAATATGTTAATTTAAATAGTCATTTGAAAAGTCACACAAACCAAAGATGTCGTTTAAGCTTGAGCTAATTCTGATGACTCTGATACTGCCCTCTAACATATCTTAAAATTTGGGGAACAATTTGGTCAACATTTTCAACAAGAAGGTCTCTCTCTTCTCTTACTGTTGCCCTGAAGAAATGAAAGATTTAACATTGGAGACACGGACGTGTGTGTAGTTCTCCGAGGTGCGTATTTATTCTATCTAAGCCACTCTACCGAGCTGTGGAAAACCAACAAATACC